TCATTAAACAGAGGTGGAGGCCTCCATTTTCAGTTGTCCCCCTCCTGCCACTGCAGTATCACTCCACCCTCTGTTAACAATAGGTGTTAATTAGGTGTCAACGATAGCCATGTGATGTATCAGTCACATGGAGGCAGTGCTTAAAAGCCTGAATTTTGCCTGAAACTCTCAGACTGAAGAAGTCTCTTGGAGGAGAGACGAAACGTTTCATTAGAGAACTCGTCCAGAATACCTATACAATTTTCTTTTTAATTGATTAATATTTTTCTGACGATTAATTGCACACGATACGATTATGCCCAACCATAGACAGAACATAACAAACATAGGTGCTCTGGGTCATGCTGCCACTGACCCTGAACAAACCCTACGCAAGGATTATCTTCATGAAGTCAGTAGCTATGTTTACATGCACAAAATTTTTTGATCGGATTGAAATGTATTCGGATTAAATAATCCGAATGTACTGATTACATGGACACAATCCGATCATGAAAAGTGTTTACATGCACTGGACTTTTATTCAGAATAAAAGTCCGGACATGCGCAGTGTTGTAAACTGTCAGCTTTACTTCCATGTTACAAACATAAACAAAGCTCTTCTGTGCGCTCAGGACGGACCCGTGTCAGCTTTTAATAATGGTAGAGATGTCGTTACTCGTCTCCTCCGTTGAGCTGCAGCCTGCAGATGAAGCAATACGTGTTTTTATTTTTATTTTTTGCGAAGCAACGTCTGCTGTTTGCCTCCTTTTTCATCTGTTAAGAGGGCGTGGAGGAAAAGTTCTGCACGGTGCAGCGCAGCTGGAGCGCTGCTGTCCCACTGGGTGAATGAAAGTCAGCAGACATGCGTACACAGGTCAGTTTTCTACAATCAGAATAAGATGATCCGATTAAGTGTTTACATGAACGTCATTACGATTATCAATCGGCATAACCCACCCTTTTTATTCGAATTAAAAATTCATTCGGATCGAGCTCAGTCAGATCAGAATAATCCGATCGGGCTGTTTACATGACGCATTTTTATTCCTAACGGCGGTTTAATCCGATTACTTTTGTCCATGTAAACGTAGCTATTGTGAGGAGGTGCAACCCTTACAGACAAACTAAAAACCACATAAGGACAGATGAGGACAAAAAAACAACATAACATTACTTGAGTATAAGATAACAACACAGGCCTGCAGACTGATTGCAAATTGAAAAATTCTGTGAAGAAGTGTCAAACAGGTGCTTTCGGTGTTTCATACTGACAGCTAAAAGGGAGTTTGGACTTCTTGAATGATATCTGCGTTAACTGTTTTGCAAAAGGGTGTGAAAACTGTGTCAATCCAATGAGAATGGGTTAACACATTATAAGCTGCTGAGATGGTGATGACGAAGACTGAGAGGTTCCCAGTTCCTTCAAACAGGTCAAACCAATCATTAAAAACTGTAATCCAACTCAAGAGCAGCTCATTCAGTGGCAGTTTAGCGATGATATAATTTTGGGACAGTGTTTTCTAATGCGTGCTGCAGTCTAAAGGAGACAAGATGCTCCGCATTCTCTGAGCCACAATGGCTCATCGTTTGTTACGCAGGGTTAGCGTTAGCAACACTGAAAAGCAAATGTTTAGTAAACAGTGGCTTGTGAAGTCCAAAACGGTTCATGTTTCCTGTAGTTAGTTTGGTTCAAGGCCGATCTGTATTCACACCAGAAGTGAACCGCATCAGACTTTGTCTGGAAGCAGACCAAGACCACCTCAAAAATGGGTCTCAGTCCGACTGTTTATTTCGCACCAGGGTTCTCGAGTGTATTCACACCTTCATAAAAAGGTCTGGACCATTGTCATGTACAATCAGGTGAGTTACCATAAAAACTGAAATTTTATATTACCTGTACAAATGTGTCCCACAGCAAAATATTTCCATTCATCCATTTTCTTTATTCACATCTTTAGGGTGAATGGGGCGGCTGTGGTGGAGTGGTTAGGGGAGTCGTCCTGGAACCGGACGATTGCCGGTTTGATACCCCGTCCAGCCGTTTCAGTCATTGTGTCCTGTGCAAGATGCCTTGCCAACTGATGGTGGTCAGAGGGTCCGGTGTCGCTGGTGCATGGCAGCCTCACCTCTGTGTGCTTCAGGGCAGGTGTGGCTGGAGCTTACCTCCATCAGTGTGGCAATGTGTGTGTGCATGGGTGAATGGGTGAATGTCTGAAGTGTAAAGCACCTTGGGGTCCAAGTGAACTTGATAAGGCACTATATCAGTTCAAGCCATTTACCTTTTTTTCTTTGCCTATCTCTATCAGTCACTGTTCGAGAGGCAGGACACACCTGGGACAGATCAAAAGTCTATCACAGGGACACAGACAAAAAGGCAACCATTCACACTCTTACTCACTTAAGGGACAATTTAGCTTTACCAATTAACTTGGAGAAAACCCATATGTGCACTGGGAAAACACGCAAAATCGACATAGAAAAGGTAGGGAGTGATCCTGTGACCTCCTTACTGTGAGAAAACAGCTCTAACCACTGCACTGCTGTGCCACTCACTCAAAACCCAAGTAAATTAGATCTATTAGGTGAGGAAAACAATTTACCTCTTCAGAAATTGCAACAAACCCTTCAGTAAGATATCTGAATGTTTAAAAAGTGACCTGCATGATATAATGGTCAACACAACATGTACGCAAATAACAGGACATTTGTTTTAAACTTCCATAACTTCAACTAAATTAAAAAGTTAATCATTAAAGTGAACAATATTTAAACACAGCAATTATCAGTTAGGACATTTTGAAACCACTTATGCCAAGTTGCCTCATTTAACATTTTTTTGTCAAGAACTCCTCCTTACCAAACAGGTTCCCCCTTAGCGTCTCCAGCTTAAAGCCAGTAAAGTTGGCTGTAGTGGGAGTCCCTGTTGTATTGAATGCTGAGCTTGGCAGTGTGATGACTCTAGGCGATGTTGCAAAAAAGCTTATAAAGATGGTGCAGAGGACAAACATGACCACCAGGAAGATGATGAAAGTTGCCTTTGCATAGATGTGGGCTCCAATCAGACACACGAAAAGGCACAGCAAGGCAACACCGGTGGCATAGAGCAGAGACCACCAGTAACCGGTTGGCAGTATTTGGTGTGGAGAGGCTGCAACAGTCTGGTCTAAAATATGAAAACATGAGAAAGACAACTTGTAAAAAAATGCTTTTTGAAAATCAATATTAATTTTAACAAACGATAATGGTGACATTAATAAACATAGGTACAATTTGAAATAACATTTTTCAATAAATGTTGACAGAAACTGGTCCCTTGGCTTGGTCTGTGTTTGGAACTTTGACCCCCTTATGTAACTGAGTTTGACACCCATGTTTTACTTGCATTTATTGTTACATCCTTAAACGGTTTTTGTTTTTTGGTTTTTTTATTCACTCCAAAAGTATAAAATACACTGTTGCATCTCGTTTTACTTTTAACACATTTTGTGTAGTAATGGAAATACATGTGATCTGAACTAAAACCAACACTATATTCTAACACTAAAAATGTTTAAAAAAATTGTAAACCTGAGTTTACCTTCTGGTATTCCAAATGTTGACAGAATGGCTTCCACCAGACCCAACACATAGAGGGCGCAGCCACAAACATTAGCCAGAAAAAACATGAGGCCGATGCTGCCACCAAACTCAGGACCCAGGGCTCGGCTGATCATGTCTAAGTGCTGATTTAAGGCCAAAGAACTCTTGAATTGAAAGATGTGCTGTGTCTTTTAGTTTGCATTTCCAATAACAAGTGATATGAGCTAAACTGGAAAAAAAATGTTTTTTGTTTTGTTTTTTACAATGAATCTCTCTTTGTTCTGAGTATGGTTTAACAAGGTGAAAGCATGGAATGAATTATCTGTAATAGGGCTGCAACTAACGATTATTTTAATAATTGATTAATCGGTTGATTATTTTTTTCGATTAATCGGCCAAATCATTAAAACGCTTAATTAAATGAATATGAGTAGACATAAATTAAGTTAACTCCTTAAGGATGCAAGTTATTGATAATGAATTAATCTGAAGTTGATTTATCATATAGATTGATTAACAGTTAATTAATAAGCAGCCATTTAAAAAAACAGTTTTCTCTTGAATCAAGAGGGTCTTCCCATAAAATGAAGGATTTTTTATAATCTCCTGAATTAAAGAAACAGAAGCACATAATACATATTTTAACAATTTATTTTGCCAGCTGTATTAAATACTGACTGAAAAAAATGTGTAGGTTGCTGAATGATGAAAATAGATTCAAAT